GGAGCGGGAGATAAGGCTCAGCAAAGAAAGGTTCCGCTTTGACACAGACTGGGTTTTATATACTATGTCTATGTTTTTTTAAAGTACTTTTAAGATAAGATAAGATATACTTTTTGCACTACGTAATCAGATCTTGTACTTGAGTAAAAGTAGAAGTACTCCGATCTTGTGCTTAAGTAAAAGTAGCAATACTAATGTGTAAAAGTACCTACAAGTCAAAGTAAAAGTCATGCATTTAAACTTGTACTTTGTAAACTGTAATATATCAAAATCAAAGTAACTAAATATGTTATATAAATGTATTAGAGTAAAGTACAGAGTAGCATAATGTGAAAATACTCAAGTAAAGACATGTTTCCCTTCAGTATGTAGGCCTACTATGATAAAGAAATGGGACCTCGTGGCAAAGTGTCTAAATTGTTAATGGGTACAAGTTAAGCTTGGCAAACAAAAATACAAATAGCAAAATGTTCATATTCCAGAGTTCATGTTCTGATTTACTCTAATCCACTTAGTTTCCATCCTTTTCAAATTATGTCAACATTAATGTTCCTGGCATGACGACCCAGTGCAAACTTTAACGAAGCTTCCTGTTATTATGTTGTGTTTCTCCAACAAATCACTCTGGATTAATAGAGGAAGCACGAGGAAAAAGAAGGTGTATTAGTGTGAGACTGAGAAGAGAACATCTGCAACAGAGAAAAACCAAATGACACGGAGTGAGACGGGAGACTGAAAAAGGTCAAGTGGAGGTTTTCTGGACCGGTTTTCAGTTTGTGAGGAAATGAAATCAGCGGCTGCAGATTGATGCTGAACGTGAAAACTTACAATAATATTCAGAGGTGAGTTATGAGACGCGATCAGCCGGGGGTAACGCCAGGTCTAGCCACTGCTATTTCCTCTGTGCAGTGACCTCACCTGACACACACACACACACACACACACACACACACACACACACACACACACACACACACACACACTCTGTTTCCCATCTTTGACCTTGATCAGGAAGCTATCAGAAGTCCCAGCAGTCTGCCTCCGCTCCAGACGTACAGTAAATTGTGCCAACTATTACATTTAATCTGTTTCACAGTTTAGTTTATGTACTGCCATGCAAAAATAAAACAAATATGGTGGACCCCCTAATAGGCATTAAAATAGCAAAATATCGGAAGCTACCAGATGTTTTTCTACACACCATTAAAGGCATTAAAAAAAACACATTTCCCCCCTCTCCCTTAATGACTGTAGGTATACAGTGGTGCAGGGATGTCATATTTCTTTGTTGGACCCTGAAGGCAGCATCTCCCCGGTCCAATGGGATTTCTCCATGGGATTTTGGATTATTGCAGAAAATAATCTCTGTGTCAAACAAACATTTATAATACTTACACGTTTAGTTCAGCAGGATAATTTCCACTAATTAACACCACTTTATGATTTCTGAAGAAAAAAGCTAACGTTAGGCTATAAGGAACAACAGCATGGTCACATGACTTCACGTCACCACCGCTAAGCTAAAGGTGGCTAATGTTGGGCTATAGAGTGGCGAAGTCCCTCCCCTTCCGGTGGACCTCCATGGGACCTTATTTCGTAAAAATTATGTATTGAAGTCAATGGAGAGAGAAAGATTATCTTTCGATCCCGTTTGAATTGTGCCACGAATTACACATATGATGTTTGTCAATTTAAAAGATAATTTTGCAAGTAAAAAAAAAAAATTTGTGGTAAAACTGTGAAGTAACACATTTGTTTGTGTGAAACGCTCAATGAACTACGTCTCTGGTCAACAACACACGTCACCAAGATGGCCGTCACTACTGTCAACAAAACGATTGACTACCCTCACTATCACCACAATGAAACACGTCCTGAAGAATGTCATGCAAAGCTGCCTGCCTGCCTTCCTTTGATTCTCTCTGAACTGCCTGGTCGTTTTAATGTTTAATGTCAACCATTTGTGCAGATAGCATGAAGTAGAGAAGATCGCCGATGCTAACGTTAGCGTTAGCATTTCTCCCCCGGGCTTAAATGGTGTATTATAGAATGATCACACCGGTGACAGTACTATTCAAAGGGTTCACGAAATATGACTACTACTCTTACTGTTTAACATTTTGGGTTACTTAATGTTACTTCATGTTAAGGCTAATAAAAATGACAAGGCTGTAATGCTAACTAACGTGCTAGCTACTAGCTAGGTAGCTAACTTGATCAAGCCACTCCTGGTCCTTTCATCAGACGGGAAGCAAAAGAACGAGCAAGACCCATTGCTGGTATGATAACAACCTGGTACTAAGCACACAGGCATCTTGTTAAAGTTATCTTATCTTAGCCAGCGCCATATAGATAGATTATATCTATATGGCGCTGATCTTAGCTATCTCTTAGTGGAGGAAAACAATTGTGACATCACTTACGCGACTCTGGGATTTGTAGTCTTTCTAGTTACGTATTTTCCCTAGTCTTATATTTCAACAGTTTTACGACAAACTGTGACTTTTTTGACATGGAAATGATTTTTTAAGATTGACAAACATCATATGTGTAATTCATGGCACAATTCAAACGGGATCGAAAGATAAGTTTTCTCTCCCCATTGACTTCAATGTATAATTTTTCCGAAATAAGGTCCCATTACCCGGAAGTAGGTGGGCGTGACTTCGCCACTCTATAAAGGAACTACAGCACGGTCACATGACTTCACATCACCACCGCTAAGCTAAAGGTGGCTAATGTTGGGCTATAAAGGAACTACAGCACGGTCACATGACTTCACGTCACCACCGCTAAGCTAAAGGAGGCTAATGTTGGGCTATAAAGGAACTACAGCACGGTCACATGACTTCACGTCACCACCGCTAAGCTAAAGATGGCTAATGTTGGGCTATAAAGGAACTACAGCACGGTCACATGACTTCACGTCACCACCGCTAAGCTAAAGGTGGCTAATGTTGGGCTATAAAGGAACTACAGCACGGTCACATTACTTCACGTCACCAGCGCTAAGCTAAAGGTGGCTAATGTTGGGCTATAAAGGAACTACAGCACGGTCACATGACTTCACGTCACCACCGCTAAGCTAAAGATGGCTAATGTTGGGCTATAAAGGAACTACAGCACGGTCACATGACTTCACGTCACCACCGCTAAGCTAAAGATGGCTAATGTTGGGCTATAAAGGAACTACAGCACGGTCACATGACTTCACGTCACCACCGCTAAGCTAAAGGTGGCTAATGTTGGGCTATAAAGGAACTACAGCACGGTCACATTACTTCACGTCACCAGCGCTAAGCTAAAGGTGGCTAATGTTGGGCTATAAAGGAACTACAGCACGGTCACATGACTTCACGTCACCACCGCTAAGCTAAAGGTGGCTAATGTTGGGCTATAAAGGAACTACGGCACAGTCACATGACTTCACCTCACCACCGCTAAGCTAAAGGTGGCTAATGTTGCAAAAGTCTGTTGTCTCCACCCTTGTTATTTAATATGAATATCAATGAGATCTTCTTTCAGTTGAACAAACGTAGAAAACATTTGTTTTATGCAGATGATTAGGCTTCGGTTAATAACAGGCCCCAATCCATTTTATGTAAAAAAGGAAATGCAAGCTGCAATTTGAGCAATTAAAAGCTATTGATTTCTTAAAAATGTGGTTTGACGAGTAGCCTAACTCACATGGAATTTTTATGAAAATATAAACTGATGTAAAAAGGTCATCAATATACTTTTGGCTTGTCATTGGTACAAGATCAGTCCCTAAGATGTAGTTGATCATTAAAAGAAGAGTAAAGTTAATGCAACTATACAGAATAAAATAAATTCTCAAAATACAACAGAGAAAAACTTCTACTGACATTTCCTTGCAGATCAGTACAGGCAGGGATCCATACCCGACATGCATTAGTGAGTCTATTTTTTGTGTGAACGGATATTTGTTAATGTGTAATCGTAATTGTAATGTGTGTGTGTGTGTGTGTGTGTGTGTGTGTGTGTGTGTGTGTGTGTGTGTGTGTGCGTGTGTGTGTGTTTGTATTAATAAAGAGTGATAAATGTCAGACTCAGAGGAAGCGTAGGATTCCTGCTCGGCTCCTGTTCCTGTGAGAAACCTCGCTAAAGAAAGCAGACATAAATAATGGCTGCCACCCCGCCATCCTGCCCACTATTCTACACTGTGTGTGTGTGTGTGTGTGTGTGTGTGTGTGTGTGTGTGTGTGTGTGTGTGTGTGTGTGTGTGTGTGTGTGTGTGTGTGTGTGTGTGTGTGTGTGTGTGTGTGTTAGCCCACTTGCAATGGGAGAGAAAGTGCAAAGAAGCAAAGAAAATAAAGGTTAAGGATGTATTTATACTCAGTGATGCACACACACTCACGCAAAAAGCAAGATGTGAGTGATGGCCCTGCCTCTCCTCAAAGACACGTAGTAAAGTGTGTGTTTGTGTGTGTTTGCGTGTGTGTGTGTGTGTGTGTGTGTGTGTGTGTGTGTGTGTGTGTGTTTTCACATGGCCTCTGGTTTGAAGGAGTCATTAAGAAGAAATGTTGTTAGCACAGGAGCCGTTAAATGGACCTGTAACAGATGATGGCAGCTTCAGATTAGATTCAGAGGTAATTTACTTTACTTACCACATGCTGCTCGTATGGTAATGGAATCTTGAACATAAATAAAAGTGCTCCAGATTAGATTCAAAAGTTCATAAATGTTGACAGATGGGGGTCGTGACGGGTCATTAGACCCTGAGCTGAACCGTGGGGTCATGAAACTCTGCTTTTCAAAGCTAAAGCCGCTGGGAAGTTTCAGCAATCTCTCTAATATCCAGCAGGGGGCATGAAGACAGATTGTATAGAAGTCTATGAGGAAATGTTCCTACTTCTCTCTCTCTCTATTACCTCAGATTGTTTAGAAGTCTATGAGGAAATGTTCCTACTTCTCTCTCTCTCTATTACCTCAGATTGTAGAGAAGGCTATGAGAAAATGTTCCTACTTCTCTCTCTTTA